GGTCCCCCGAGCCCGCGGAGCCACAAAGCCCTTCCCGGGAGGAGCGCGGGCAGCTGTAGCGGGGAATACGTGGTACGGATCAAAGGGCCGCCAGCATTACAGTAATTCCTTCACAAATCATCCGTGAAGGAATACACCAATGTTACCTTGGGAGTGTTCAAAATTACTAGCAAGCTACCAAAGACCAAAATTATGGATAACTTTTGGATGCTGAAGAAGCATGTAAGCATTATTATTGTTATTCACTTAGATCCACAGAAGTTTTGCAACAAATTTCAACAAGTGAATACAAGTGCCCTGCTCTGTCAGGGGAGGGGTGAGGTTGTGTTAATGGTCACGGCAAGCTCCGGGAAACAGCCATGGGAAAGAAACCCAGGCTCAGAGGGAAACCTGAAAACAGATTTGAATTTTGGGGTTTGAAAGAGCATGGGAGTGGGAGGAAAGTGTCCAAGGGGAGCTGCAGAAACGAAGGTTGTGGCCATGGTTGGAGGAAGCAACAGCCCATCCATCCAAGCGCAGAGGGGCGAGTTCCAGCCAGCCCTAACATCACAAACACCCCATCCTACCGAGATTCCAGTTATTTATTCCAGCCTGCCCTCCTGGCTCACCCTTTTTCTTCCTGAGGAAAGACTATTCCAGACTCCCAGCATCCTGTTGTTTGTTCACTTTTCCCAGTTAATAGTAGGCATGCATTTCATTTCAGAGTTTCTCTTATTTTTACTATATTTCCATAACTCGTTCTTGATGCCTTTTATGTTTTTCCTTATTTTGCTGTGCAACCATTCTCTCACCATCCCCACACGTTTGTGCTCCTCCTTTACAAGCCCTGTTTTTGCCGTTTACATGAGCCCTGTTTGTTTTCTGGTCGCTCCTGAGGCAATCAAAGGTCTTCTTCTGTGCTCCTTGTCCTTGTTTAACACCAGAGAGTCTGTCGTTGAGTCCTTCTGAAGGAGAACTGCCCGTCCCGTAACCCTCTGTTCCCACAATCTGGTTTTCTGCGTGAGAAAGCGCGCGCCCAGGCATGCCTTCGCAGCCAGCGTTTCCGTGGTCCTGGCACTGACCCAGCCCCTGCTTCCCATGCGAGCTCGGGGGACTGGTGGGGAGCAAAGCTGGCCCGAGTCTCACTTTCACCGTTTTCTTTTTTTCCAGCAATGTACTTTCAGTGTCACTAAGCCAAGTGCATGTGTTTACTATCAGCACAAATTAACAAAATAAGTTAATTAGAACTAAACATTAAACTAATTGCTTCCTGTTTCAAATGCTCTGAAGTAAATGCAGTACATAAAATTTTTCTCTTCTTGGTTCCTTTTTCCTACCAAGCATCAGTGTTTGGGAGTGCTGGAAGATGTTCTCTTCCCAAAACCTAAATCATTTCCATGGAAAACGTGATCTTTTCCGCATTTCAGGGAGCTGATATCGAGTTTCCCTCTTCCACCTTCCCGACCTCCCAGAAGTGTCTGATGGGGGGTGAATTCTGCAGAAGTCCTGCCTGAGCCCTGGGCACTGGCACAGGTGGATTTGGGGAAATGGGGTTATCTCCTTCCACAGAAATAGGCAGGAAAAGCCTGAATGAGTTGCTGGTACAAAAGTGCCGTCTCCTGCAAGGTCGGCAGGGGTGTGGTGACTACGGCTTGGAAAAACTGCGATCAGAGTTGGCCTTGTGTGCCACAGCACTTGGCAGCTGACAGACACAAATCCACATTTTGTCACAGGAGAGGCAGAGCCAGCAGCCCTAAAGCCCACTGCTGCCCCAGCACGCGCAGCTGAGCTCACGTGGGATGGGACCCTGCTCCCCATGGCGGTCCCCGCGTCTTGGCCGCTGGACCAGAGCTGAAGACGTGCCGAGTCTGAAGCACTCGGCCATGGATGGAGTTCCTCTGCCCGCTGTGGATGGAGTGAGTTCCTCTGCCCGCTGCAAAGGTTTTTCCTGCAGTTCCCACATGACATTACAAATTCTAAAAAGTGGAGAAGGACAATCTAGATCTGCAGAGGCTGCCACAGAAGAAGCCGAAAAGCCTCTTGTCCCTGGCTGTCCCAGGCACCGGCACCTCTGCTTAAAACTGACCAAGGCTCTGGAGCTGGGGACAGTCCTGGCTTCCCCTTTTCTCGGCGGGTCTCTCCTGCGGCTCTGCTACCAGCTGGGAGGCTAGAAATGGAGCTCAGCATTTGGGGTTTTTTCCCTTAACCTGCAGGGCTGCACTGTGCTCGGGACCGCCACACCGCGAGGGCTGCACTGTGCTGGGCACCGTCACGGCGGGTGAGGACAGGCAGCCCTGCGGCAGGGCACAGCCTCCCAACGCTGCAGAGCCACAGAGCTGGGGCTGTCTCCGGTGGAGGGGCCCAGCAGCCACTCACTGAGGTTTTATCTCATCTGCCAGCACAGGAGGGGCAGGCAGGACCCTTAAACTACTTTCCCAACCCAAATTCAAAGATTCCCCTCTTAGTCCAAGGAATCCTTTGGACACTGCCATGTCTTGGAAAGCAGAGAGAAGCCAGAAAACGGATCTGTTTCTTGTTTCCAGATTCCTACCAGTTGCAGTGAAGCTCCCACAGCCAGAAACAGCAGAACAGTTAATCAAAGGGGATTAAAGAAAATGAACCACAATGCAAGATATTATTGAAGCTGAGAATCTGGTACAATTCAAGGGAAGAGCAATATCTGCAGCTATAACAGTTCAGATAATAGTTTAGAATATATAAAGCTGTGTTACTTCACGCCAAAAACAATCACAGTTTGCCTCAAGCAACGCAGAAATCTCTCCCAGAGGGGCACTGCTGCAGCAGAGCCGAGCACTTTGTGTTGGTCGCTGTTTCCAGCTGGATGTGAGACTGGATGGACCACTCATCCGGTATGGGATGGAAACGATCTGTACTGACAAGAGCCTGGGCTAGAACAGCATCATCAAGTGACTGAGGATTCACAAACACACTCAAGGATATTTGTTCTTAAACTTTTATTTCTAACTTGTCTGCAGAGCTGATGGGACGAGGGGTCTGCTGGCAGCCCGTCCTGTGAAGGTAGCACACCTTCTCACAGCAGAATACAGAACAGAACAGAAATTTCAGTTGGAGGGGACCTACGATGATCACCTGGTTCAACTGCCTGAGCACTTAGGGGCTGGCCAGAAGCTAAAGGAGCAGAACTCGTTTCCAGCCGGAGGGCCGGCAGAAGGACAGAGCTGAACACTCGGCGTTTGACATTCCGTTTACAACTGCGATGTTGCAAATGGCAATAAATGTAAACAAAGCCAGGTCTCCCTCGGTCTAGGATGCACCTGTGTGGGACGCAGTGCTCTGCTCCAGCCACTGTGCTGCAGGTATCTCCCTCTTGTCTTTGACCGAGCCTTTCAGTATTGCTGATTTCCAGTGTACAGGACCCTGCAAACGCTTACCTAGAATGGCTACAAAGAGCGCAGAAAACACCAGCGTATCGGCACTCCCCCCAAGAAACCCCCCCTCAGGCTGCCCTCAAGTTGCACCGCGTGGGTTCACAGCACCGAGGCCGGGGCGGCTCTGGGTTCACTCAGCCGTGTAAAGGATCTGCTGCGTTGTGCATTGAATCGAGTTCTCTAGTATAGCCAAGGGTCAGCAAAGCCATTATTGCAAGCGAACTTTGCAGTTTCATTTCGATGAGAGTCAGGATGGTAAGGTTCCCTCAGCCCTCCTGGTTTTGGTTTATCTCTTCTTTCTCACACTACACTGCAACAACAATAACATTACGAAGCCTCTCTTCCTGTAACCCAGGCTAAAGACTGAAATGAAATCTCAGTCACAGGGTGCTAAAGCAGAGACATAACCACAGGAGAGCAGTATCTGTGCTCACCTTGCTCCTGTTGCCTTCTCCTTGACACGCACCGTTGCCCACTCCAGGTGACAGCCACCAGGTCAGCTGGATGACGGCTGCGACCTCCAGTCATTCGGAAACAGAAACACCTGGGCTCATTAAAATAGACATTGCATTAGAGGAGACCTTGTACCGGGCAGTACGATCCCGTGGGAAACTACTTTAAGGCATTAATTGTTTCTTAATATTCTTAAACAAGTTCAGCCTGCTTTTCATCTTGATACAAATTTAGCATAAGTATTTTGGAGCTTGTCTTCATTAGAAAAACACATCAAGAAAGGATGTGGGTAGTTAATGCCAGTGTATGCATGCTTAATCCTTAGACCTTTAAATTTTTCCCAGCAATTACGAATGCTTTTGGGGAATGTTGTCTGTTAAGCATCGCTGCCGTGGACAAACTGCAAGGGCTGTTTCTCGTGCCACAGGTCCCGCGGGCCAAGGCCCTGTACACCTACCGAGGACACAACCCCGGGGAGCTGCGGTTCAACAAGGGGGACATCATCGTGCTGCTGCGACAGCTGGATGAGAACTGGTACCTGGGGGAGGTCAACGGGATCAGCGGCGTTTTCCCAGCCAGCTCTGTGCAAGTCATCAAGCACCTGCCCCTGCCACCGCCCCTCGGCAGAGGACTCTACAGCGCTGACCTGAGGAGCCGGGATAAGGCCGAGAACAAGGACTGCCTGACGCTCCACAAGGTAACAGCACCCCGCAGCACCCAGGGGCTGGGCTGGGTTCTTCTGTAGACTGTACAGTGTTCTGCTACTCCCCAGCTCCATAGCAGCTCCCTCTTGGAGAGCAGTCAGGTTCCCAAGCCCCCTCGGACACTGCTGCCGGCAGTTAGACCCCCACGACAGCCCCCGGACACGTGCGGGACGAGGGGCTCCAGAGAGGGATGCAGATGCCCCCCACCAGCAGCCCCTGCAGTCCCTCGGCTCAGCTTCTCGCCCACGCTGCTGTCGTGGAGGAGGAGTGGCTGATGGTGGGAATCTCAGGACCAAAACAGTCCAAGGAGATCTCTAGAAGACACCTACTGACACAGTAAAGACAATTGCCTCCGAGCCTGGGGGTACATCATTAAGGCAGGCTGAATATACCCAGCCCACTGGAGGCACAGATCTGCAGAGCAATACCTGAACTTCTACTGTGTTTCCCTTTATTCCCCAAAAGCCACAGAGCTTGCGTTTGCTCTGTTAGAGGACACGCTCGTCCGAGTAACCGTGCCTGCCAGCACAGTCGGCCGTCCCTGCGGGGCCAACGCGAGGTGAGGCACGGCAGCGCGGAACAAAGCGCTGCCCGGAGGCATCAGTGTCCGTGCACAGACCTCACCTCTTCCTCTGCCCAGCTGGCAGCGCAGACGCGGTGGTCTCCTCGCTCTCACGGGCGGGAGAGGAGGCAGGAGAAGGAAGCTGTGGTCCAGGCCAGTGTCCCCAGGGAGTCGGGGCTGGATGTGGGCTGGCTGGCAGGGAGTAAGAGAAATCGAACGGCCAAGAGCCAGCTGTGGTTTCTGAGGAAGGGGAGGAACTGAAAGAGAAAAACCAGGTCAGAGCAGCCTCACACGTCACCAGCAGCTCTATAAAAGGTGGGCTTTCAGCCTGCTCATGCAGATGCAGGGAGGCTGGGCAGCCAGCAGTGCTCCCTTTGTCATTAGGATTCACCTCTTCGCAGGAGGAGCCTTCCTCGGCTTCCTGCCATCTGCGTTTGTGTTTTTCTCTTTCGCTCTATTTGCCTCTGTTTCACGGCTTACTCATTCTGTTGATTTGCGTTAGGAGGCTGTGCTCATCTCCACCCCCACAGCAGAGTTCACACATGGGGAGCGAGCGCGCATCTAAAACAAGCAGATGCGGCGCGAGCATCCTCCCGTCCCGGCCCGGCCCCGTGACAGCGGGGGGTTGTTACTGTACGACATGACAAGCACGGGAGCAGTCGCCTCCGTCACTCCCTTCTGCAGTACCCGGTGCCGTGCCCTCCTCCAGCCAGGCACAGCACCGGGTGACCATACCCAGCCGAGGCGGGTACCTGGAGAGTGCTGTCCCTCTGCAGACCTCCATAAAGAGGTGATTTCTTCCCCCTGGAGCCCTGGCCGGCGGGAGAACCTCACCCCAGGGATGCTGGAGCCTCGGGTGGGTGACGCAGGAGCTGCCTGTGTCCAGCACAGCCTGGCTTTAGACCAAAGCTTTGCTACAGGCAGCTTGATCTCATTTTTTCAAAGCTACGAGGTGGCTGTAAGGAAATCCCAACAAACCAACCAACCAACAAACCCCAAGCTGCCGGCTGTCGCGCGAGCGCTGCAGCTGGCGCCGCAAGCCGCTGCCCTCCCTCCCCGGCTCTCACATCTGGACAGGACACCCCCACCTTCCGGCTTCGCCCCACCTCCGCCTGCCCTTGCCCTCCCTCGGGAGCAGGTGACAGTCACTTGGCCCCAAGCCCACCTGGAGAGCTGTGCGGCTTCAAGTGCAATGCCACGCTGCAGTCTCTGCTTATTCTTCAAGGCAGCAGCCAGCAGAAAACACTGAGACACAGACACGAAAGAGTCACTGACTGCAAGATTGATACAAAATTTCCACCAATTCAGATGGAAAATTTATGCACGCACTCTGCGTGGGTGTCAATGTTTTGGCCAGCCGGCACCAGCCTTCTCTGACCCCTTCAACCTTGCAGTCATTGAAATTTTAGCCCTAAACTTTCTGTATTAGTTCAGAAGAGATAAAAACAAATTCATTTCCAAAATTCTCCTTACTTCCCCCCAACACGTGGCAGATACCCTTATAAAGATTAAATCAAAACATTTTAAAAGTTAACAAGATTCACTTCTGCGGGGTTGCTCAGAAACCTAGGTCTTTCCAAAGGGATGTAGCTATCAGTCAACACAAACTAGCTTTTTTCCCTCCGGAGTATTTCAAACACTGGCACTCCAGCCACGTCAGGTTATTTCAGCTCCTGAAATAGCGATCTGAGGGTCTCGGCAGCGTGACACCAATTACCTCGACACTTACATAGGGGGTTTCCACTTGGTTTGTAGCTACAATGCCATTTCCATTATTAGCTGTGCGTGGCAATTACAGAGGCATCTCCACGCGATGGAAACCATCCAGCAAGTCAAAGGCTTTTCATGTCCCTGCCGTCAGACTCGTGTCCACAGTCCCGACTCAGACATGCTCACACCTTCAAATTAAACACGAGTGTGAGCACTGTGCTGAGTAAGGGCGGACGAGACGGCGTTTCAGAACGCGTACGCACCAGACGCTGTCCTGGAGGACTCGATGGGGCTGCGCCGCTGAGGCTGGGACCTTCCCCACCCTGTGTGTGAAGGGGTCCAGCCCCTTCCCCGCTGTGCCCACCCAACGCCAGCCGTGCCCACCCAACGCCATGCCACTGCCAGCAGCTGTCGGTAGAGCCCTCCTCCCGGCCTGGCCCAGCTCACCGCTGCCCTTCAGCCCTGCAGACAGCTCTCCCTCTTCCTCGCTGGAATGAAGCCTCTGCAACAAGGAAAAAAACTGGGGGCAAAACCACAACAGTCAGGCAAAACATCACCATTGCATTTTTAATGGGTTCTGTTGTAGTCAGCTCTGGTGTAGCTCTGTTCGCTGGGGGCTCTGCCCCGTGAGCCCCCCCAGCCGCCTTCCCGGGGCTGCAGGGTGCTGGCTGTCACGCTGGTCCCCAGCCGTCCCAGCTCAGCTCGGCTCAGCGCAGCGTTCCCAGCGCCCCGGCTCCGGAGCCCTTTAAGCCACCCGCTCCCTGACAGTATTTTGTTAGCACTGGTCTAGACGTTAATTGTATTCCTGCAGTTTAGCTTGAGATGCAGGGTGTAAATGGCACCAACAAGAATTCCTAGAAATAAAATTAATACTTGTAATCATCATAATTACAGCAAGCACTCTTTGTGGGTATTTTATAAAAGGACACTAGTAAAATATCTTATTTGAAGCTCTAATACATTTTTGTAAAATGTCTTTTCATTTCATGAAATCATTTTAGCTTCAGTAATTACTTAAGCCTGGTGCTAACAGAAATAAGTTAGTTAGGGCCACATAAAGCCACCAAGGAATTAGAAATTAATTACGGAGAAGGCAAAGGTAGGTCTGCTTTGGGAGATGCAAAGCTTTTCTCGGCTTTGAGACAGGTTTGTGCCCCATTTTATCACATCTCCTGGTGTTTAGAGAAGGCAGGAAAATGTTTCCGGTGAGGCGAAAGTTTAGTCACCTACAGAAATTACAGTACTGCCATCTTCTATGAGCACATATGCACACACTCTGGTTTTTAAACCTTGCTCTAAGGAGTGAGGAGGAGGGAAATGTGAAACAATCCTTGCTTTAAAATTATAATGCTCGAGAGACACCTGTACCTCTCCTGCGTTAGAGTAATCCTTGCTCATCCCCGGAGCCAGGCACGTTGCCTCACAGGAGTGGGTGAGAATCTCAAAGTTTTGCAATTCGTTAATGTCAGCAGTAAATCATGATTAATTCCTCTGGCAGTCATCGCGGTAAAATACGTTGTCACCACATGCTGTTTGCTATTAATACTGTGTGATCAGCAGTTTCCAAGAAATACTGTTTGAACGCTGCCCGTATGCAAATTCAGGGCCTGACTCTTCTCTCATTAAACCCAATGGTTAACAAGCCAGGCTTTTTCCAATGGAAGCAGGAAAAAGCTGTAAATGTTTAGGCCCACAGAGATGTAATTGGGTGGATCTAATTCTGCTGGGAAAGCCACCAGCGAGGGCTTCTCCAAGCTCATGCCTTGAAGTCGGCCGCAGGGCTTTGACGTCCTGCTGCGAGACGCACCCAAGTGTGCCGGCACAAAGTGGAAAAGGGTGATGTGCCCCACCATCCCTTCTAATTTAGAGTTAAATTTATTATAACACGGCGAGAGAGTCAGCCAGCTCGCCTGACACCTCTGCGAGCCAAAGGCTTTGACAAGAAATGAAGCTTTCTGTAAAGTACTGGGGAGGAGCACTCGGCCTCAGTAACGTGTTGTCTAAGCAACAAATTTTTCAAAGCAATTTTAATTTTGCTGTCAGCTTTGCATCAGTAATTTCGCATCTGGGATTTGTCACTGAAAACATCTCGGGGAAATGACTGAGCCACGAGTTTTTAAAGATCGCCTGTAACGTCATCTGAAATCTGCCCACAGCTCTGCTGCCAGATGGGAAAAGAGGGGAAAAAAGGCAAACTGAGCAGTCGCCGGGCTGTGCCGGGTGTGACTTCTGAAAAGCGCCATCATGTCTCCCTTTGTCTCTTCCAGCCAAACACCACTGCGAGGCAGCTGCTGCAGACCAGCAAAAGCCACTGGTCCCCCCAGTTTAAGTCCGCATCCCTGCGAATGGCGTCACCCAAAGCCAAGGGCGCAGACTCGCCGGCCTTCCCCAAGGCGCCCGACTCCCGGCGGAAGAGCCTGCGGCAGTTCTCCATCACCACCGCCCTCAACACCCTCAACCGGATGGTCCACGCGCCCGCCGAGCGGCCGGGGGGCG